TATTCAGATTAGCAAACCAGAAATAATAAAAGATGAAAAGAAAAACACAAAGAACTATCCGAGTCCACAGAACCCACTGTGTGTCCTTAAGAAATTTAATCCCCTCAAGTACCCGAGGTTGCAGATTAATTCCTCCCAAGATAAAACGGATTAACCATTAAAGAAGTAGCGGTACCTCAAACTTCGATAATTTCAACGAACTCAAAATGACAGCAACGAATCACACACACAGACACGATCGATCGATTTTGTTTTGTAAGAAATGTATGCAAAAGAAGGGAAGAATTCGATTCAGAAAAATGAGAGAAAACCTCTCTATTTATAGCCAACAAAGGGTAAAGGTCACAACCCTTTGAAAAGAAGACAACATTTCAGAAAGGTCACAACACTTTGAAAAAGGCACAACCTTTCAAATGGTCACAACCCTTTAGAAAGGACACAACCTTTCATAAAGGTCACAACCCTTCAGGAGAGTCATAACTCTTCATTTCCTGTTCACACCTTTAAAACCCAACAATAATCACAGAACATTAAACATAAAAACGCAATAAAGTCCAAAATGTTGAAAGAATTGGGAACCAGGAGTTGCCTTTTGTGTGGATATATGTACCACTATATCAATGCTGGTTTGAGAAACTCAGTGTTTGCATGAGACATGTGGTATCAACTATCATGGACCGTGAGAAATGATGTAAAACTGTATATGTCTTCACAACACAGCATTCAAATAGACACATATGGACATGATTTTAAGCTCTGAACATAAGACGTCTAGTAGTACACTCTTATGTATGTTTTTGTTTTACTGATTGGGAGAAGCAGATAGGGAAAAAAAGCTAAATGAGAAACTTCAGCAAGGTGTTAAAGGGATTTTTCGAAACAGTTGTCGACTACATTCAGATTCACATTTGTATAAATATAATTTCCTTAAATATATAATATGCTATCCTAGTGCCGAGAGGAATGAAACACCAAAAACACATTTAAGGAAGACACTGGATAAAGAAGAGTAGAGCTTTGCTGTATAAGTTAACTTGTCTTGAGCCTCAAATGGATGGAAGCTTTTTATATATAGAAAAAGTTAGAACATAACCATTATTGAGCTGCTTATTTTGCTTTATCACTTTTGACATGTAGAGCCAAATTTATGATTATTTTATCACACCAAAGACCAGTTGTTGGATAATGTGGAGAAGGTCTTCTTCTAAAATCCATTTTCTAGTTGCTTGGTTCCTTCCAAACACTCTCTAACCTTTATTACAACATACATAAATTCGCATCCAGAAAGGTAACATTTCATAGCTGCCAACAGCTCCCGATCATCTAAAGCAGTATCTATCTGGCATGAGTATGTTCTTGCTGAAGTGACGTGTCAACCACCACCTGCAACGAAACCTCCACGACTTGCTAGACTCATAATTGCTAAATATTCTTGGAGTCCGACTAATCCCATTTGAGAATTTATCCTTCTCACTATCTTCATCGTTCGAGCACAGTACACACATACAATCTTCTTCACATTGAGAAAGTCTCAGGAAGCAAATACGTCACATTTTCCAAGATAGTAGCTTTCAATAGCCTCCTTCACCTGATCCCCGAGCAGCAACATCTGTATTAAAGGATGAAAAGCCTTGAATATAGAGCATGTTTTAAATACTCTATTGCACTAATATACACAAGCTAAGGCTCAATAATGGTTATGTTCCTGCACGAGACATAAGGCACCCTGATGTGCCTCCCCTGTGTTCCCGCATTTGAGAGAGAAGAGGATGAGTTCCAAATGAACAGCAAAACGATTTAAAACGTACTAATAAAACATAAAACAACTAAAATTTCCCTGGCGAGTTTTCATACTTTGAAATGTATTCATAATAGCCTCATTGGAGATAGTTAATATTCTAGTGCAATTGGTTTATCTTAGCCTAATATGACTTATAAATAGGATGATGGAGGTTCGAATTCCTATACGAACTTGGCCACGCAGGGGCGAATGACCATTCCATTCACACCGCAAACCAATGAGCCAAGAAACTCAAATATTCATTCAGCGTCATTAATGTTATTTGTAGGGATATTTTTTTATTTTTTTAGATTTTCTTAAATAGATAATATTAAAAAATTTCAACGAAGCAATGTCGGTCGACACCTCGCCCCTGCTTGAACCCTTGACATAAGGTGGGTCCACCCCTACTTGAAGCCTTGACCGCACGAGACACAAGGCACCAATTCTCTCGACTTTTTATTAAAAGTTTCACGCTTCTACAAACAAGGATTTGAGGCCATTTGTTATGTTATGTGGCAAGATCATGGTGTATCTAACTTCAGTTAAGCAAGTAAAAAAAGTGTTTTTAAAAATTGTCAATAGTTTAGAGACGAAACTAATAATTCACGCCAAATTGAAGGGTGTTTACAATACTTCTCTCTACTTAATTATTTATATTTGGCGAACATTACTAATATGAAAAGAGAAATTAAAAGAAGTTAGGGGTTTATTCGGTAAAATAAAAAATATCAATGAAGCAAAGTGCAAAAGGTATATACCTTCGGGACTCAACTTCTCTTAAAAAAAGAAAAAGGCCAATCTTCTTTTTATTTGGTGGATATAAAAAACGAATTTGCATTGTGGGAGATTCCAAATTTTGAGGGTTTTTTCACAGTGAGTCGAGAACAGCTAAGGAAGAAGAAGAAGAAGAAAATGCCGTGCCTTAACATTTCTACAAACGTGAACTTGGAAGGAGTTGATACTTCCTCCGTACTTTCTGAAGCTACCTCCACTGTTGCCAAACTCATCGGCAAACCAGAAGCTGTATGTTATACTTCTCCCTTCTTGTTTTGTGTTGTATTTTGAACTTGTACAGGTAATAATGTTTCAATTGTTTGTATTCTCTTTTTGGGTTGAGCCTTAAGTGTTTGGACAGTCACCCAGATGTTCAATTGTGTCTGTAAGTCTTTGTGGGTCTCGTGCTTTAGGGATTTTGATTTTTATCGGAAATAAGGGGGAGTAAGGTCTGTGTACATGCTACTCTCCTGATTCCCACTATGTTGTTGTTTTCATCTATGCTATTGTGGGTACAAAGGATTTGATCTTTTTCTGCTCAATAGCAAAGTGAAAACAAAAGAAAACTCGGAATAATGCAGCAAAAGGTTGACTGGCTTTTTATAGCACGAGTAGATCAGTACATTGGGTTTTCAGTCTGAATTTTGAAATTGTGGTCTAAAACACTTCTAACCATTTGTGTGGCACAGAAATTGGGACAAATGGAGCATTTATATACAAGCATTTTACCAAAAAGTAGAGAACTTGCACCAAAATATGGTACTCTTCAAATGACACACAATCTTCTATATAAGTAGGGATATTTTTGTGTGTGCACCAAAAATTAACTGAGAACAAAGGCTATTCTTCAAGTGTCCAAAGACATTTTTAGATTCCCTTCAAAAGCTCCTGCTTTCCTTTATAGTATTTCCTTTTACATGACACATTATTATTAGGGGGACAACATCCGATGTCCTATGTGATCTCATTTTGCTTCTACAAGCACATCTATTGAGCACAAACCCTTTACCGATCCTGTTATTGTGTGCTGCATGCCGAACCAATTCAATACTACCCATCACAATCATGTAGTCACCTGCCAACAATATGAGGTAATCCACACCTTTGCCTGATCTTTTACTAAGAAAGAACAGGCTAACATATGCGATCCTCTTTTCCAACTTAGAACTTAGAATAGTCCCCTTGGTTGCCTACCAAGCTAGAGATACATCTTTTGAGAGCCCCTAGAAATCCAACTGATATGTGCAGGAAGTCCAACTTCCCTCACCAACAGCTTGCAGTAGTGTGGCTTCATTGAGAGAACTCTATCTCTGCTCGGCCTCCATCTCCACAGTGCTGATTATTGAGATAAAAAATATTTTATAGTTAGAAGTATCTTAAAGAAGTTCGGAATAACCACAAATGAAAGAAAAATCTGATTGACTCACAAATGTAGAAGAAATTTACGTGCTTAAATTTGACCGCTGTAGTACTCCCTCTGTTTCATTTTATATTACATTCTTCCCTTGTTAGTCTGCCAAAAGAAATGAGACCATTTTATATTTGAAAGCTCTTTAACTTCTCACCCTCAATGAGGCTTTATAGCCTAGAAATGTCATCACAATATTTCTGGTTAAAAATAATTTTAAAATGTTTGGAAATAAATCATAGTAATGAAAAATGCATTTGACTTTCCTTCTCCTTCTCAAAAATGCATTTGAGTTTCAGACCATTTTTTCGAGATAGCTGAAGTGAAAAGGATTATAGTCAAGTTCATGGGGAAAACGAAGTATGAGGTGGCTCTCATTTTCCCTATGGTAGAGGGAGCAATGCTCGTTGCTTGTGCTGATACTGTGTATCATGTTGTTGTGAAGCTATGGAAGAGTGAAATGTGTTTAGACTCGTGATTTTTTGTGTTTAAGTGCTAAGGAATGTGATGTGTCTAGTTTCGAACTTTCAAACTTCTGAATGTTGGTGATGAGCAATTTCTTTCTTTTAGGTTGGTCGTTGTAGTGAAGCTAAGTAATAATGAAATGTGTTCATACTCATGAATTTTTGTGTTTAAGTGATTAAGGAATAGGATTTATCTAGTTTCCAAACTATAAAGCTTCTAGATGTTGGTAATGAGCAACTGCTCTCTTTTAGTTTGGGACTTCAGGTCTCACACTTCTTTCTTAACAGCACTTTGGGTCTTAATGTATTAGCCTCAAATCTCAATGAATTAGGAGTTGTATCTTGTATGGCTAATTGCTACTTACTCTGATTAAAACCTCATGTTTTGACACAATGTACTTCTGGTAGTTGTTTGAGATCATTTACCAAACATTTTCCAGTTTCACAATTCTTACCCCTGCTAACCTGCGACATTTTTTTCACTTTCACATCTGTCTTATAAAATGATAATCAGGATCACAAAGGGAGACCTCAAATCAAGAATGAGAAAAATACATATCCACTGAGTTTTGACCTGTGTGCCAACTTGGCCTCAGGGATTTATCTGCTTAAGAAAAACAAGTAAATATTTACAAATCCTAAATACTCCTATCCATGGATCCATCATTTGGGATAGGAAGGAAAGGATAGAACAGAAACATGAGTAGCATAGAATAGTTTGGCTTCAAAATGCACATTTCTTTCTTGAAGTTTATTGTCGGTCAATATCATTATTTTGTTGATCGGTTCGACGGAATAATACGTAAAGGAAAGAATAGAAGAAAGGCACCCAAGGCTGTCGCCTAGTGGTCAATGAAGTGGGTTGAGAACCATGAGGTCTCACGTGCAAATCCCAGGTGAGACAAAATACACTAGGTGATTCTGCCCCTGAAGAATTGGGACAGATGAGGAAAATCACCTTCTGTTTTAGCAAGTCTTTGAAATTACTGCAATGAATTAACCTTTATTTTAGCAATTTTTTTCAATGACCAAGATGCTTTTAAGGTAATTCTGCCCCTGAAGAATTGGCTCTAGAAATTCTTCACAGGGTTAGACTTTGCAGTTAATGTTCTAAAAGCTATTAGCCTTACAAGATAATCAGTATCTTGCTTGATGAATTCATAAGTCTCACTTAGTAGAAACTAGAAAGCAATTGCCTCTTTGTAGAAAATGCATTAGCTGATGAACATTTAAGCATGTAGGTTCACTCAACAAGTTTTGCCTTTAGTCTCTCTTGAGAAGCTCAATTGACATGCTTTATCATCCCTTTTGTGTTTGTTTGGTTTCTCTGTAGTGCAGTAATATTGCTTTCATTGTGCAGTATGTCATGATTGTGTTGAAGGGATCTGTTCCCATGGCTTTCGGGGGTACAGAACAGCCCGCTGCCTATGGAGAGTTGGTCTCCATTGGGGGATTAAATGCTGATGTCAATAAGAAACTCAGTGCTGCAATAGCTGACATACTTGAGACTAAATTGTCTATCCCCAAATCTCGATTTTTCCTGAAATTCTATGATGCTAAGGTATGTGCCAGGCTTCATAGTCTATCAAGGATGAGTAAATTCCCCGCATATCTCTCATTGCATTCTTCCTGTTTGTTTAGGCCCATCAAAGTCAAGAATATGCACAATGTCTTCATGCTTTACACCAGTACTAGATCATGTAAATAAACTTTCACTGTCTAAAAACACTAGAAGTTTTTGTACTTCTCCGATTCCTCAAGTATTTGTGAACATAATGTTCTACTTTAGGAGTGTCGGTCATATAAGTATTCTGTCTTTCTAAATCTGACGAAACTGATAACTACTGCTCTATTTTGCAGGGTTCCTTCTTTGGCTGGAATGGATCTACCCTCTGAATTTCCATTTCATTTCACAATCGGCCATCTTTGTGCCACTTATGAACTGTATGTATGTGGTTGGATCTGTATCAGCCAAGTAACTTCATATTACATCTTTCTTGGTAATACTTGGAATGATGAATGTCTGGTCCTTGTGAATGTTGGAATTATCCTGCATCTAAGCCCTTGATGTGATCATCGAAACATTGTCTTGAATATGAGGTCTGAGCTATCAGCACTCTTTCGCGTTCATGTCGTTGTTTCATCCATATTTTCTGTCTCTCTGTTCCATATTGTTGCATGCCTATCTGAAGATTGCCAATGGCTCTGCTTGTTAGCAGAATCATTTCACCTATTTCATGATCTTAGTATGTAAGATACAATATGCTTTTAATGTATTTTTTTCAATTATGCTATTGATTCTATCAATTGAATTAATTGTCAAAAAAGATTTAATTACTTCTTTTATCCCATTAACATCATCTAGATGTTTTTCAATTATAAAAAAGTACTTGTATCTTATGATATTTCAAAGGAATTAAGCGATCAAATGATAATGAGTACATGTGAACTACTAAAAATTCCTAAGTGTTTATTTTTGTTCTTCTCCTGCTATGGTTGATGTTTTTTTTCTTTCGAAGGACCTAAAATTATAATTGAATAATTTTATAAGAAATATTAAAAATGACTTTAGTGGGATCTTACCAACACTTAAATGATTATTCAAGAAAATAGATTTATTTTTTCTTCTATTTAAATGGTAAAGAGTTATATTCACATATTTCGTCCCTTGGTAATATATGCTCTTAATAAACACAAAAAATAGTTAAATCTTTTTCTCCACCAAAAAAAATAACTTTTAATCAACTTTACTAAACAATGTCAACCTCTATATTTCCTGTCAAAATAAAAAGACAGAGAGAAAAATCGTTTGATATATTATACTTTCATCTATTTTAATTTATGTGAATTTGGGCTTAAATTTCTTTTAAATAAAGTTATATAAAAGTTACTACTAGGGTGGCAGTTCGGTTTGGTTTTATCAAACTTCAATTCGGTTCTTCGATTTTGATTTTAGAAAAGTATGCATTGACCTTCCAATTAGTGAGATTCTATCTCTTACTTGGGAAATTGTGGTCAAGCCCTTCCCTTTCGATGTCCGATCCCGGATACCATGACTTGTTCCTATGTGTAGTAAATCCTGGAGAAGAACAAATGAAGATCAGAATTTGATCAAATTTGGACTAATCTGGGCCTTTAGTCATCTATCTCGCTACCTACTCCTTTTGCAAAAAGGCTTTGGGGATAAGATCAGACTCGAGAAATAGTCTACTTCAAGGCTGCAGGGAGGACTACGCTCTGCAGGTGACCAAATCAAAATAATTCAATGCGGTTCGATTTGGTTTGGTGTTTTTGAATCGATTTTTCGGAGCGATTGAAAAATAAAATGAGAACAAAATCAATGTACAAGATATTTAAAAAATTTAAACTATGTTAAGGAATGGTGTGTCTCGTCATGAACACAAACTGTGCTAACTACTATATTTATGTTTTTCAAGAACATTGTGTCTCCAACTACTTCTCGAGAAAAACAAGGACGAAGACGGGTTCCTTTACATGTTTTTTTTTCAGAAAAATATGTTGGGTGCTCCAAGGCGCCAAATCCATAGGCTAATACATACGAAAAAATCGAGGAATTTGGGTAATTCCAAAAAATGGGACTATAAATGCGGAAATAAGCATTAACAAAAATGGGGTGAGTATACGTGGTGGTTCCCCAACTCATTACTGTAACATCCCGCATCTAGAAATAATTAGAATGTAGTTTAAATCTGGAAATTTTCGTTTTTGGAAAGTTCAAGGGAAATCTGGAAAATTGTAAGCAAGAAAAGTTGAGTTTTTGTCATTTTCAAATAATCATAAATCCTAGCTCAGGATGAGTTAGGAGTAGTTATAGATATGGTTGGAAAGCTCTTGGAACTATCTTTCCAAAGCCGCCAATTTTGCGCGATTCCGAGTTCGTATGAGTGAGATATGCCCTTTGGAAATTGGGCTGTTGGATTGAGGAAATGTCCAATCCGGATTTTAAAGGGTAGTTTGGTCTTTTCCTTACCCTTTTATTTTAATTCATTTTTGGTAATTAATAAGGGGTCTAAACTGATCTAGATCAGTTTAGACATTAGACATTTACCAAATAGAGCTAGGGTTTTGGAGGAGGAACGCAAGAAAAGAGAAAAGGAGGAAAAAGCTAGATTCGTCGTCGTCGTAAGGAATTGCTTGCGAATTTCGTCGAGGATTCAATCCATTAAGATATGTAAGCTTCCATAGTGTTGGGTTCTTTCACCCACACACCAATCATGATTTATTCTGCATAATTTCGTTCTTGAAATTTAAAGATTAGAGTTCTTAATGAGTTCTTGATAAGTGTTCTTGAAGTTTCATTAAGTTTTGAAGTAAGGTTCTGCTTAGGTCAACTTTAAACGACCATATCTATTAGAATATTAAGAATTACGTGAGCCATAACCTATCCAATTAAAGGTAATTGAATCTACTTTCCAACCCCACCAGTTTCACGTCAATCTGAGTAAAAAGTTATGACTATTTTAGTAACCGATACAGTGCTGTTACGAATTAGCCGACGGTAAAATATTGAAAATAATCATTTTTGTCTTTTTACCTCCAAGAAAACCATCAACGAATTTCTTGAACTAATAAAAAAACTCAAAACAATCAGATTTTCATCTTCACTCATGAAAATCATAATTTTTGGCTATAGAGATTTTTAAGAAACTAACTTGAGAATCTCAAGAAAGGTTCTTCTTGATTGTTTACCTTCAAGCTAGGGTTTCAAGACTTCTAATCAAGTTTTTTCTCTTCAAGATTCTTCAAGGACCTTGTTTTTTTCAAGTATGTAAGGCTATCATAGTGTTGGACTAGTTCATACTCATGCCCTACATCTATGTTTAAATCAGTAAAAGAGGAATCTAGGATTTTTTTTCCCTAGATTTGAGTATTCTTGAAATAAGGTGATTTTGAGTTCTTGAGTTCATGTTTCTTTTAAAAGTTCTATTCCTAATTATCGAATTGCTATATTGTTATTGAGATACTCCATAAACATGAGATCATGAACCTTGAATCCTTAATTAAATTCAAATTCAAGGAAAGTCAAGAGCCAAGTCTAGGAAGTTCTTAGAGTCTTTTCAAGAAGTCTCTTTGCAAAATGCTTTTAACTTTGTTTTAAGACTTAATGATCAAGTTGAGTAAAGAGTAAAGAGTAAAGATTTGAAGTTCATTTCTTCAAAAGAATATGGGGACTAAGTATTCCCAGAGAGATTTAAAAATGTTTTCACATTTAAATAAGAGCGGAAACTGAGATTTCCAAAGAGCCTTCGGGCTAGTTTTCAGAAAAGAGTATTAGCTTTTTAAATGAAGCAAGTAGGGAAACTGAGATTTCCAAGATAGCCTTTGAGCTAAGTTTTGAGCACTAATCTCAAATCACAGAAGAAGTATAGTTTTTAAAACATAAGAGCTAGTATATTTTGGGAGTAGTATTGAGCACCGAATTGGGGCGGGAATGAGTTCAGATAACTCACGTCTCCAATAAAATCATGTAGCCATCATGGGTAGAAATGGGTCATACTTTTTAGATGAACCCCTTTCAAAATAGACTAGTGGATCCATTAGGCAGTTCAGGTCCTATACCTTTGGCCAGGTATAGGATGCGCTAGCAGCGTGAGGTAGATCGTTGTATCATCAATATAGCTCTTAAGTGATGGTTGTCGGTTAGAGAAACTCCCACATAAGTTAATATATTTTTATATACATTAGTTCATTGTATTTAAATTTCAGAGTTATTTGTATCTTGCATACACACAAAATTTATATCATGTTTTTTAAACAACTTTTCTTTATATTGCACTTGCTTTTGAACTGCTTTATATTGAAATGAGTTCTGTCGTGTTGAGTTGAGCCATGTAAGTTCTTCAGTTTCTCTCATATTCTTTCAAGCCTATGTTATTTTAGCATTCCAACTCGCATACTCGTACATTCAATGTACTGATGCCAGTTGGCCTGCATCTTATTGTGATGCAGACGCAGGTAATCAGGATCAGCATCCAGCACGCCGTTGATCCAGCTAAGCATTCCAGAGTCAGTGGTGAGCAGCGCATCATTGATCCAGTCAGCAGTCCAGAGTCTGTAGGTGAGCCTCCTTGCTTTTCGGAGGATCCATTTCATTGCTTTCTAGTTTAGTTCATTAGGATGTTCTGGGGTCTGTCCCAACATCCATCTCAGTTGTTATTAAAAGGCTTCATAGACAGTCAGATGTTAGCCTTTGAGTTTTTTTCAATATCATTTCTTATTGTTAAGACTTGAGTTGCCATTTAGGCCAAGTTGAATGTTGACTATTAAACATTCTAAGTTATTTCATTAGTTAAGTTGAGTAGTGTGCTATTGATCTTTATAAATATGCATATAGTCTTCCGCTGAGTTAGTAAGCCATGCTAAGGGTTCGCTTGAGGCCAGCAATGGTCTTCGAGTGCCAGTCCCGCCCAGGGTGTAGGCTCGGGGCATGACAATTACGGAGGTCCTCATAAAGTTTTTTCAGAAAACATTTTTGGGTGCTCCGAGGCGCCAGATCCATGGGCTAATACACACGAAATATCAAGAAATTTGCATAATTCCTAAAAATGGGTCTGTAAATGCGGAAATAGGTGTTTAAAAAATGGGGTGAGTATACATGGTAGTTCCCCAACTCATTACGGAGGTTCTCATAAAAAAATTCAGCAAACTTTTTGGGTGCTCCGAAGCGCCAGATTCATGGGCTAATACACACGAAAAAAATGAGAAATGCATAATTTCTAAAAAATGACATGTAAATACGAAAATAGGCGTTAGAAAGATTGTGTCAGCATCCGTGGTGATTCCTCAACTCATTACGGAGGTCCTCATATATATTTTTCAGAAATTATTTTTGGGTGCTCTAAGGTGCCAAATCCGTTGGCTAATACACATGAAAA